TGATCAACTGACTGATGCATCGAAGACGCTTATTTTTTAGTGGTCATTTATAAATGCACTGTATAATGATTTTTTTATAACCGGGTCAAATATTAAGATTTATATATATTTAGAATCAGCGTAATTTGTACAGTATTTCTGTTAAATATCTCGCTGGCCATTTTTAGAAAACTATAGAGGACGCTACTGGATAATACACCATTGTAGGGGATTGATATAGAAACATCACAAAAATGGCTTCATCATTGATTTGTTATTATTTGACTCTCAAAATTTGACATATTGCTGTTGTACTAAACTTTTTCCTCAATCTTTAGCCATTTTGAATTTTGTATATTTTTTAAGGAAATGTTTTATTTTATCATTATCAAGAGAAAAAATACAAATAATAGTTAAAAAAAACAGAAATAAAATATCAATAGAAAAATATAAGTGTACATATATGTTAATAGAAAAATGACAAGATAAAATCCTAATAAAAAATATATATTCTTAAATGAATATTGGTACGTCAATCGAATGAAAGAACATGATCATATGATTTCGTCTTTTTCTAAAATAAAACTTCGATGAATAAAATAAGAAAAATGAAATCTGAAAAACTGTACCAGCGATAATGACATTGATTCAGATATAAAAGAATCTTTACGTTTTAAATCAATTTTATTGCATGAGCTAGTTGAAGATTGATTGTCAGGTGGAAGAATTATATCCTGAAAAAAAAAGTAAATAAGAGATTCATTTTTTCTTTTTACCTCTTCAGAATCTGAACTATCAGCATAATTATCTTCACCAGAATCAAAAGATGATTGATCATAATCGATGCTTTCATTGGTTTTATGTAAATGGTTATGATCATGTAACATATTATCCATATGCATAGATACAATTGATGACTAAAAATGAGATTGTAATAGTAGAGATAAAATGTTTCTAAACTTACAGATTGAGCATGACCAATTGATAGATGTTGAGAAATTGATGATCGATTACAACACTTTGTTGCATCACAGGAACAGTATAAAGTGCATGGTTGTGAATATTTTCCACATTTGCAAATCTTCTCACAACTACCTTTACATTTGCACGACTAAAATGCAATAGATAATTATAAAATGATAAACATGAAAAATACTATTTACATGGAAAAGAAAATTATCTTCAGGTAAAGGGTTTTTTGTTGTCCATTTAATTTTAATATCATTATTGATATTTTCAAAACCAAATAGTTCAGGATAAGGAATATTCGCTATATGTGCATTTCTCCATATTTGATATTGTCTACTTGCTCTACGACAGTGATGAAACAATGCATCGGATGATGGTGGAAGGGTGAGGACGATGGATTTGTTGCCTTTTCGAAGTGCACTAATAGCCATAGCTGCTCGTATATTATCAATTGAAAGAAAAGATGTATCAATCGATGAGTTAATATTTGATAGATTATACGAAATGAGATTTGAATTATTCATTATTATTGATCGCCGTTCCGCATGATGAATACAATTAAAGATCAATCTTTCGACAACTTTAATATCTTCTTGAACCATGGGAAAAACAGAAAGTTTTTCAAGATCATCGTATAGACGAGGATCAGCAAAAAAATTTTCAAAAAATTTTGTTTTTGATATATTTCGGAAAAAAGAAGTGGTATCACATCCAGTAAGCGCATGTAGAACGAGTAGAAGTTCTGGAAAAATTTTGTATTTGTTGATTAAATCATTATGGATCATCGTACAATTGATATATTTCCCTTGACCACTACGAACAGTTGCATCAACAACAAGATTTGTTAAATTGATAGTATTGGCATATGATATCATGAGAAAAACAACATCAGTATCTGCAGATCGTACAATAACTGTTTTATAATTGGTCAATGCAGCATCTTGTAAATGAAGGATGAGACGAGTATCGGCTTCGTCATGATTACTTTCCAAATCAAGTGCTTCTTCAGGTGGTAAATCATCTAAAATTTCGGTAAATAAAAAATTTATAGCAGGAAATCAACTAGGATATAATTAAATATCAAGACTAGCATTAGAGACATATGAACATACGAGAATCGGTGGTATATTAATTCACAAAAATTACGTTGTTACTATGCTACAGCGGTATATCAAAGAATCAAATGGAAGCCAAAAATAATAAAATGGATACAGCCTAATTATATCATTCAAAATAATCTTGACTGCGCTATTGTCTAATTTCAAGTTCGTTGAGAAAAATGACCAACAATTTAACAGTATTGGTAATATATATAGATCAACAAGATCATCCTAAAACGAACCATCTCATTTATTTACTATAGGAAACTTGTTCAGAATAATTAATTTAATTCTAATTTAGGCGAGAATCAGACTATTTTTTGGTAGACGTGAAGCGTATCTATTGCTTCGGAAAATATATAATAAATCTCGACAAGACTACTATTGAATCACTGATGTGTTGTATACATCTTAACACGTTTTCTATTATTATTATTATTATTATTATTTTGTTTGATAAAACATTTCAGCCAAAGAAAAGCTATGATTTTCCTCAATTATATTCTCTTTCCTCATGACTACTGCTGATCTGGTAGAAAAACTAAAATATACAAGCAAAACAGCTTATGTCATATACCCAATTAAAGAAATAGTGGAAGCTGAAATAAAAAGTCAAATATATATATATAAGAATTTTAGTCAATAAGTAACTACTTACGGATATTTGTTGATAAGATAAGATTATAGGCTATACTGCCGTTTTTGTCTAAAACACGAAAAAGTTTCAGTCTTACGTGAAAGATAGAAAGCAGTTGCATTTGGACCACCAACAACGAGTTTCTTGTGTATAGGTAATAATTTGAGTACTGATGGCAACTGCCAACATTGGACAACAGCAGCTGCTAAAACAGCACGATTACCACTTCGTAAAATATGATCAAATTGTTGACCGGTAGGTATTTTATGTTCTGGTAACAGCTTATAATAAACACATTTTTGTTCATTAATCATTTTATGTCTCGGAATGAAAGATTTTATCGAATAACTTCGATTAGAATCAAAAACAATGTCAATTCGATCAAAATAATTAAATTCTATAATAATTTTTTTTTCCAGTAGAAAAATTGCATAATCTAGCACTGTATAATTGGATGGAGGACGTGTTTGCAAGAGAGCACCACCGTCAATAAGTAAAGCACATTCATTAATAGGCATTGATGAAATATCAATTGGTTTAATTGAACTAAAGCTTTCTGGAAATTTTTTTTTTGAAAAATGTAAGAACTTGGGATTTGTTTTGGTTGTTCATTAAGTCATTGTTGTTTCGATCGCATAGTGAAATTGGTCGAGATGAAAATTCATGTCCAAAAAATTCAATTAAATTTATTTTTGGCCGATATTGACTAAGAATAATTGCTTTTATTATAATTTCGTCTATTTCTTTAATATTGTCGATTACTTTCTTTGGTGTACGTTTAACAAGGCCAGATTGTGGATCATATCTATCATTGTCACGTAATTTCAGTAATTTCATCTTGTTCATACTAGTTTGAGATGGAATTGAACACAAAACAAAACGTTCCTTTATCTAGAACAAAAAGATAAATAATTATTTCCAGAACTAATTATACTTACAAATTCTTCAAGAGCTACTTTTCCACGCCGAACATAATCCAAAATATCATCAATAATTTCTGTTTGAAATTGTTGTCCAAAAAAGAGTTGTGTAACAGTTTCATCTTCACATGTAAATAAACGTTCTTTGTAGAAGAAATTAAGTAATGTAGCAAAATCATGCTGATCTGATTCAAGTCTTGAAGGACTACATTCAATATGAGCATCTATATTGTCGTTATCAGTTTCATATTCAGCAAATTCAAATGTAAGAGTAGATAATAATGAACGATAAGAAAAGGATCTACACCAGATATCAATCATATTTTTATTATATCGACCACTAATTCCTGCATGACCTTTACCGGCTTTATTGATTGTTACTTCAATTGTCTGGTCCATCGGTATTGCAGAAAAAGGACGTGATGTTCGTTGAACTGCAAACGCCTTGGCAAGCACATTGAATAATTCATCGGAACATGAACGAAGATCGGTAAGGTGACGTGCACATAATCGAGCTAAAATTAATGCGAAAAACTGTTACAATTAAACAAAAAAATCCAGTAGACAATCTGCAGGTCTTATTTGGAGTCTGTTAGTTTTAAATTTGACTTTTTTGAATAATCTCTGTGCCATTTCTTGTACGATCTTATATCAAAAACTTAGTATCATTTTTACAGAACGATTCAAGATAGAAAATTCCGCATCTGAAATGAAGAGGTCAAGAAGATTTGATATGCATTTTGACAAGATATCATTGGCATAATAGTCTTTTTATATACGGTATAGTTTCACTTTCCTCAGAATGTTCTTCCAAAAGTTTAATACACTTGCATGCCTATAAAACTGATGTTCTTCTCAGTAATTAATTGTTATGAAAAAAGAAAATTTACCATAGTTCAAATGGTTTGTTGAGAAAAACAATGGTGCCATTCGACTTAATGCTGCATTGCGACTATCGAAATCAGCTGATCGGATAGCAATGTACATGTCAATTAATGGACCTATTAGGTCATTAAAAACATAATACCAAAACTTGAATTTTTTGTTCTGACTGCTTTTCTCACAAACCCATTCATTAAACATTACACTGAGTTGATGCTGTTGCACAACTTGCTGAACTTTTTCAAACCTTTCAATACATAGAAAATTTATAATACAAAAGGTGATAAGACTTAAAGCAGTACTAACCATGCAATTTTACATGTATTAGTAGAAACATCAAGTGGTATGGATTGCATAATAACTTCAATATCATTGAAGATTTCACGTGGAACAATAGAAAGAAACTCATGAATGATTAATGCGGCTAAAGCGGAATGCAGCAATTTCATAGCACGTAAAGATTTATTAAAATGAGAGCAATTCATAATTGATCGAAGGCTGGCTTCTTTGTATAATTCACCTAATGCTGTATCAATGCCAGATCCTTCTAATATGCCCCAGACGACAATCATATAGTTTTTCATTAAATGAAATTCACCTGGATAAGGTAATACTCGATTAAAAAGTAATTTATTATTTTCTTTTACCTTAATTATAAAAATCAGCATCAATCCTGTATGTAGAAAAAAATATTGCTTACTTCAATACAATTTCTGTAAATCTTTTCATCAACAACAATTACCGCTACTTCTTGTATGCCACTATCTAATAACCGTTGTTTTGTTGATTCCATGCATGCGTATGTGGTCGAAGTTTTATTTGGATCATCATGCATAGGTGGAAGAAATGTTACATGATGTACTGGACGTAAAGATGATGACAAATAAGAGGCAAAAAAGCCTGATATTAATGGAATAGGTGTACAATGTCGTGGTACTAATAAAGAAGGATTTAAATAATTTGTACTGAACCAACTTTTGACTAGATCAAAGCAAAATAAAGATACACCATGATTTGAGGATTGAAACTCCTTGTAAAGACTAGTCGGTTTGCTTAAATGATTTGTTGTTGTAGCTGAAAATAAAAAAATAACTTATAACATTGCTAAGAAAAATAAAGAAAGCATACCTGATATATCACTTGCATTCGTTAAAGTAGACAAAATTAAAGCTGAATTAGCAGAAGATGAAGACGACAATATATTTTTTTGTACATTTACATTGTTTGAAGATAGTTGTGATGACGAACGTGCAGTATTTGAAGACATTGGAGAAGAAAAATGGGTAAGTTTGCCATCATTTTCACTAGTTTGCAAAATAACTCGATTAACAACATGTAAACTTCCTTCACCTCTTAACGTTTCTTTATTCATATCGAAATTATCATGTACTTCGATCATAAAACAATTGTTACGTACATTTGTAGGTATTGCAGATGCGGATGTATCATCATTCTTTCCAATAGAATGATAAAGACGAGAGAGATTCTGATGCGAACATACAACACCATATCTATTCGATACTGTCAATAATTCATACGAATGAGCGTGTCTGTAGACTTCATTGGCTAATAAAATATGCTTGGGTGTCACAATTCGATCATTTTGAACATTGATAATATCAAAACAAATTGAAATATTTTTTAGCCATTCATGACTATTACGAAATAAATCAATATCAAACATATCGAAATACCTGAACCGAAAAATAAGCAGAGCATTAATTCTTCATATACTGATTTCAATATTAAATTATCTATCTTACATATATTCTCTCTTGATTTTCAAAAAACCTCGATCACTTGCTGTTAATATGCCAATGAAATTCCGAAGCAGCATTGGAACAAGGTTATTAAATGAACTAGCTGTTAAATGGATCATTTTTTCAGGTTCTTCATTGAAGATTCGAACTAGATGAACATTATCACGAATATGTTCTCGTAATGTAGTTATTGTTGTGAATAACGTTTGGCATAAATTTTTCTTTTGGTTATTTATATCATCGTCGTAATCAACAGTAGGGGAGGGACTTGATTGTGACAAGGTGGACGTAAGTGATGATGACAAAAGCTTTTTTAAATGGTAATCGATATTATTCAAACCAACATATGTTCCATGACATTTGGCAATAGTACCAAACCAAAAGTAGTCTGGTGAATGTTGTTGCAGTTGTCGCTGGAGCCAGTCATTCCTTAACTTAATGTTATCAAATTTTTTTGGATGGTGAGCATCAATAATTTTTTTAAATTTTTCTTTGACAGTGTTAAGTGAAATGAGTTTGTCTCGTACTTGTTCTGATAGCCAAGCGCTAAGCTCAGCTATTGGTGATTGAAATAGACTTTCAAAACGTTCTGTATCAGGATAATGATTTTCAATATTCATTTGACTGTGACGAGAAATGCTTGGTCCTTTTCGACGAATAGACATGCCAATCTAAAGAAATATATATGATTGCTGATATCGGTCATAAAAATA